AATCATCCACATTGACTGTTGCTTTTCTGTTGTGGGGAGGCTCTGGCCTTGTACCCCATACAGTTAGTAAAAGCTTGAGAGAAGGTACTGACAGCCCTTCTGAGCAGCTTCACTTCATGAAGAAATTACATCATCATGAACAGAAATGCTTACTTACATTTCAGCTTCAGGAGAGTATCTAAAAACATCAGAAAGTTACAAAACATGTTTTTTTTTCCTACAAAGCAAAAGAACCTCTTTGTTCTGTTTTTGCTTTTTATAATTTCTGTGAAAAAAAATTCTCCAAAACTGTACTGAAACAGTGCTAGTAAAAGTGCAGCAATAAAGACATTCAGTATTTTATTTTATCCTAAATTTAATAGTAAACTCTAAAGAGCATGAAGCAGTTCCCTTTGCTTTCCCATTCTGAAAATTGAAACAACTGGAAAAGACTGGTAGTATTTCTTCCATCTTATGCCACCTCTCTTCAAAGGATACCTCACACAACTCTTTCCCCACAAGATGGTTTTGTAAGATTCTTAGGCATAAAGAACAAATGTTTAACTGGCATATCCTATTTATACTTAAGCAACCAACTTATAACCAACCATCTTAAAAGTCATCAAAGAGAAATCAGTTTGAATGAGCTTCTATTAGCTAAATTTGTGCTGCTGTTGTTGTTGTTATTTGCTGTCAAGTTGGACTCGACTCATAGCAACCCCTCCTTGGGTTTCCGAGGTGGTATCACTATGGAAGTAGATTGCCCAACCTTCCTTCTGAGGAGTGACTGGTGGGTTTGAACAGCGAGCCTTCTGGTTAGCAGTCAAGTGCCTTAGGCACTATGTAGTGAACTACAATAAACATTAAAATACATACATGCACACACATACATATATATATATATATATACACACACACACACATATATATATATATATGTAAAAATGTATGGTTGTAACTGATTATAGCATATTAAACTTATGTTAAAAAATCCAAGAGTCCATAGATTACTCAAAATTGAAAAATGATCAAGGGAGAGAAGAAAAGATTTTCATTAAAACAAGTCAGCCAAATACTATAGAAGAAACGTTGCGTTAGATGATCAATATTATGCAATGGATGTTAATTACCGTTAGATGAAAGGTTGACTGGTGTTCCATTTTTGTGGTAAGTGGGAAAATATGAGCATGGAGTAGATGTTGGATGACATTAAGGCATTAATAGGTCACTTATCGACATAGTTAGCTTCTAAAGACCAGCTCGTTATGTGAAAATCTGTGTTATGTGAAAATGGAGGGTTTTTTGTTTGTTTGTTTCCAGACCATTTATCTAATTTTTTAGATTTAGAAAATATGATCACAGAAATAATAACAGTTAAGATTTACTGATGGGCTCATCATTGTGATGAGCCCACTTATGGATTATTCCTCTGTGGAGGGGAGGTTTGGCAGAGACAAGGCTGGAGAAAGCTGGGCTTTGTGACTGCAGGGCCCACAGCTTCAGCACTTCACTTGCCTCCTGTGCTGGGACAGAGCTTCTTCCCTTGTATAGCTACTCCAGGGTTCCGCTCCGACCTCCTGCAAGCCTTTCATTCACAACCCTGGAGCCTGCTCTGCCCTTTGGGATTGGTGAGCTGCTAAGGCTCCGGCTTCCTGCAGGGGTGCTGGGAGCCAGGCTGTGTACCTGGCCCCAGTGAGGCATAGCTAATTTCACATCTCCCTGGGATGTCAGTAAACTTGTACACATTTCTTCCAGACACTCTCCAATGTCTCCTTCCTCCTTTCTCACCAAACAGAATTATGAGCTGCAGGGCCTATGGCTACACAGGAGCTAAGAACCCTGAAGAGTGCCTGCTGGCTAGGTGCTGCCTGTATGTCTACCCAAAGGCTGTGGCCCCAGAGAATATGTCATGGAGGAGGCCAGTCCTTCATGGCTCAGCTTCCCAGAGGCCCCATGGAGATCCTCATCAAGGGAAGGAAACTCTGCAGCCATGGCCAACATGCCTGCACCTTGTTAATGTGCATAGCTGAATAGCAGAGTTTTAACTGTTGTCATAAATGCTAAATGTTGGATGAGACAGTCAGTAAGTGAGGATTTGTAAACGAAAGAAAAAACTCAAACTCACTGCTGGCAAGTCGATTCCGACTCATAGCAGCCCCTCCTTGGGTTTCTGAGGTGGTATCTCTATGGAAATAGATTGCCCCGTCTTCCTTCCCCGGAGTAGCTGATGGGTTTGAACTGCCAGCCTTAGGCACTATGCCACCAGAGTTCCCCCCAAGTGAGGAGTAGGTGTATTTACTTCTTATGTGTGACTATGATATTCTGATTTTGTGAAATATTATCCTCTTCTTAGGTTACATAACTGAATATTTAGATATGAAAAATCATGAGGTCTGTACCATACTTTTAACTAGTTCAAGTGAAAAAGAAGTATCTGTGTCTGTGCCTATGTATGTAAGAAAGCATGCAAATGTGGCAAAATGTTATGGTTGAATTTCATTTGAGAAATAAAGGTATTCATTTTTATTTAATATGCTATATCAATATAAAAAGTTAAAGGGAAAAAAGGTACAAAAAATAAGGTAGATTAGTTTATTTTTACATTTCATTGTGTTTCAGGTGAAAGTCAATTGCTTTCTACTCCTATGTGTCAGCATCCTCTCCCATTCTGCCTTGCCTTCTCCATCCAGGCTCCCTGTCCCTCCTCACCTTTTCATTTTTGCTTCTGAGCAACTGTTGCCCATTTGTCTGACTGTTCTAAGGAGCACGTTCCTCACGGGTCTTATTTATTTTATTTGTGATCTATTATTTGACTGAAAGGTCACCTCTGGGAGTGATTTCAGTTCCAGATTAAAAGGTTATTTCAGGGTGAGAGTCTAGGGTGTTCCTCCAGTCTCTATCACTTCAGTAAGTCTGGTCTTTTTTCAGAACTTGAGTTTTGTGAGGAGCTCTGGTGGCATAGTACCAAAGACATGTGACTGCTAACCAGAAGGCTGGTGGTTCATACCCACTTGGAAGGAAGGTTGGGCAATCTACTTCCATAGTGATACTGCCTCAGAAACCCAAGGAGGGGTTGCTATGAGTCAGGTCCAACTCGATGGCACGTAACAACAACAACAACCAGGACCTTCAATTGTGTCCCTGGACAGAGCGGTCGGTAGTGGCAGGTAGGCACCATATAGTTCTTCTGGTTCTGTGACCCATTAGTTCTTTGGACTAACTGGTCCCTTGACTCCCTTGGATTCCTTCACCCTCCTCTGCTCCAGATGGGAGATGACCAATAGTATCTTAGATGGCACTCACAAGTTTTTAAGACCCTAGAAACTACTCACCAAGCTAGATGAAGAACATTATCTTTATGAATTATGTTATGTCATTTGACATAGATGTCCCCTGAGATCTAGGATTAGTTCTTCTCCTTATCATTACATAGCAAAGTTTTATTGAAAGGAGGTAAACTTTCCATAGCTTGCTTTCTGTTCTCTGATATATTTTCTGTATCACTGATACTGAAGATTTGCATTTCAATTCTGTATCTATAATTACTACTATGTAAATTGGTACCTATTTTATTTGCCAAAGTTAAATTTTCAAGAGATATACCCTCATTTTAGGGTGCTATGATTTGGCACACAAATGAATTTATATTGCATTAGTCTGGGGGAAAAAATCATCACCACTGTTAATCATTCAAACGTCTCCCTCATTCATCTATAATATAATAATGTAAGTTACAAAATATTAAGATAAACAGAGAACTCGGTTAGCTTACATTTTATAACACTCCATAAATGAAACTCTCAAAACTTTAAACTAAGGGGCACCCTTCAACTAATTTAGTTGCTTTTAGTAGAATCCTCAGCTACTGTAACAGTCAAACCATTTACTTAATGCTTTATCTAACAAAATTTAGGTCTTTACTTAATAATCTTCCGAAGTTGTAACAATCTAACTCAACTCTACAAATGAAATCAAAACTAAATGATTGGGTTTACAGTACAATTCAAAGTTTTACAATTAAATGAAATAATATCTATGAAAGTACTTGGCATACGGCAACCATTAAGACAAAACAATGTCCATTCTTCACAAGGAGTCTGTCATTTTTTGAATAAAGGATGGTTCTTTATAAATATCGAGTACTTCATTTGAAATGTGAACTAGAGCTCAGTGGAAAAGATCGGAATTCCTAAACTGCTGACACAAAACAAGTTCAAATAAAGATGAACAAATAATAGGAAATCCTGCCTGATTTAGACATGTTTTTATAAACCCTCTGCCCACAGAATTTTTTTAAATTCTAAGTACTGATCCTGTGGTGGTTAAGTTTGTGTGTTAACTTGCTGGACCTGGTTGAGTAGCTGAGCAGGTGAACGTAGTTATTCCCCATGGTGAGACTCGTAATCAACTCCATGGTGGAAACTACTGGAGCAGCTGAGTAGCTGCCTTGGGGATGTGGTCTGCTTCCCATATATAAGAAACAGCTTTGGGAATAGTCTCTAGCTTATGGCACATTCGAATTCTGTATGTAGCTGTGTCATTGTTCAGCAGCGTGCCATGCTCTGCCAACCTGGGGACTTTCAATGGACTTGAATTAATGGCCTGCCATGTGGTTTGGTAACATTGGGACTGTGTCTTGTTCCTTGTCGACCTTGGGTTTGTCAGTCTCAGCAGCCAGCAGCTGTGTGAAGGAATGCCTCCAGCTTCTGTGGGCTGGGAGCAAAGGCAGAGCTGAAGCCCAAGGCTGAGGGGCTTTAATCCAGCCCCTAGAGCCTGACACTTTGAACTCAGACTTAAAGCCTCCAAACTGGAAGAGAATAAACTCCTGTTTCTTCAAGCCGTCCCATTTGTGGTATATTCCTGTCAGAGAGACACTAGGGAACCAGAACAGATCCCCACCGTCATTTCACATTAAATCAGGCACAGTTTTAACAAACTATAATACATCATAAAATATCTAAAATAAGAAGACTTCTTTCAATCAGAATACTTTTAAGCAACACTAATATCACTTTAATTACTTGGTTTCAGGAGATGAAGAGCTTTCATTTGTGTCCGTCCTTTTATTTCTTGGAAATGATGGACTAGCTGGAGGCATCTCACCACTTAATCGGTCTGGGAAAATACGGTCTTTATTCAAATTGATTTCTGAATAGGGACAGTTGGCAGCACTAGAAGATTAAAAGAAAAAGAAAAGAACATTCCCATTACAACATTTACTTCTCCTAATTAAAATGATAGCCTATAGAATATAAAATCCCCAAATCTGACTGAATATATTTTATGTATGTATGTATGTACAATTAAATAAGCAAATAGCATGTACCAGTTTATTTTTAAAACATAATTTAAGCATATTCAAAGAGAAGTATTTCTTCGCACTAGGTTTTAGGAAGCAGTATGATGCAATCTTTGGAACAGAACAATGGCCACGCAGGATTCCCTCTGTACGGTCCAAGGCAGGGATCAGGAAGAGTCCACTGCTCCCTGCAGTGATCCTCTTGGCCTAGTGTAGTCATCGATTCTTTACTTCCTTTTGTTCCACGTCCTGTTCTCCAAAGGAAGCTAGTGCCCCTCTGTTCCTGTCTGTAGGCCAGGTAGCATATCTGATATTCTGGAAAGCTCATGTATCGATTTATAGCTAATCCTTCTCCTAGTGTATGAGATAAAGGGGCAGACACCAACTTGGACACTGACCCATCTAACTCATTTCTCTTCCACTTTTGCCCACTTACTGGTCTTTCATGTCTCATTGTAAGGATATTTCACACAGATAGAGACTAATGTTTATTACTGGTTACTAGGGGTTGACAGGAGGGGGAAATGGGGAGTTATTGCTTAAAGACAATGAGTTTCCATTAAGGGTGATGAAAAAATTTATAAATACAAAGTGACTTACATTTATTATAAATGTACATGTACTTTATAAATTTAACAATGCTCCCTCCCCCAAAAAAACCCCACAAAAACAAACTCAAACCCATTGCTGTTGGGTGTATTCCTATTCACAGTGACCCTACTGGACAGAGCAGAACTTCCCCATAGAGTTCCAAGGCTGAAATCTGTATGGAAGCAAAACGTCACCAATGCCAATCAAATTTCTTCCAAAGAATAGGTTCTTAAATAGTCTTTAACATCATTTCTAGTTTCTTATGTACAACGTGTTTTCAGTGACAACATGTTAGGAATGTGTACACACACACACATACACACATCTCTTTACCTTTATGTATTTTCTTAGAAAGCAGGAGGATAGACTCACATAGGAGTATGCTTCTCTACTGCATGGACTTTTGCAGGGGTACTCCACTTTATTAGCAAATTTATATGCACATATGCTTATACCAATACTACCCCCTTGGACCCTGGTAGGAGGCTGTTTATCCTAGGAAGACGGGTCTAGCTCACTAGGCAAAGCAGAAGGACTGCCTTGTTCACTGCTCCCTGTTGCCATCTGTTGCCAGCTTTTAAACCATTATAATTATAAACACATTTACTTAAATACTAAAGCAACATTTTCAGCTCACATAATCTTCTCACCCCATGTCATGGCAGAAATTTGTTTAAACACACACACACACACACACACACGCCAGGCAGGTATTATCATTGGTAAGGCATTTGGCTGCTAACCAGAGGTTGGTGGTTCAAACCTACCAGCTTTTCTGTGGGAGGAAGATGAAGCAATCTACTCCCGAAAAGATTTACAAGCCTTGGGAACCCAAAGGAGGTCATTATGAGTCAAAACTGACTCGATGGCAATGTGTCTGGTGCTTTGCATGAGAGCCCAGCTGCTCAGAGCACAGATGGAGTACAATGCAGGCCGGGCTGGATCCTGGTTCTGCCACTGTATGATCGTGGGCATTTAACCTCTCTGAACTTCAGTTTTCTCATCTGTGAAAGGGATTAGAACGGTGCCTATTCCCTAGTGTTTCTGTAAGCATTAAATGAGATAATATATATGTAAAGGCTTAGAACAGTGCCTGGAATATAGGAAATTATCAATTAGTGTTACCTATTGTGTTGTTGTTGTTATGTGCTGTCAAGTCGGCCCCGACTCATAGTGACCCCCCTCCTTGGGTTTCCGGGAAATTATCACTACAGATGTAGATTGCCCCATCTTCCTTCCAAGGAGGGGCTGGTGGGTTTGAACCGCCAGCCTTCTGATTAGCAGTCAAGAGCCTTAGGCACTACGCTACCAGAGCTCCCCATGTCACCTATTACTGCTATTTAAAAAGGTGAAGAAGAATAGTAATACTTAACCCCCAACCAAAAAAAAAAACCCAACTCACTGCCACTGAGTCAGATCTGACTCATAGTGACCTCTCCTTGGGTTTCTGAGGCAGTATCACTACAGAAGTAGATTGCCCAACCTTCAACTCATAGCGACCCCTCCTTGGGTTTCTGAGGTGGTATCACTACAGAAGTAGATTGCCCAACCTTCCTTCCAAGGAGTGGCTGGTGGGTTTGAACTGTCAGCCTTCTGGTTAGCAGTCACAGGCCTTAGGCACTATGCCACCAGAGCTCCCAAGAATAAACCAGGCACTGCATATAAGAACATCAGCAAAAAATAAACAATAGCATTAAAAACTCCATGCTATTTTTCATTTATGAAGACTCTGCTTCCCTCAGGACAAATTGATGCTTCCTTCTAAGTGCTACTTCACATTCTGCCATTCAAGCCTCCATGCTTGTGCTCATGCTTCTAATCTGTTTACACCTGACTATGGCCTCCTTAGAAATGGAAGCCCTCTCCTCTATTTAACTAGGGTCTCTATTTCTAACCTAAGGTCTAGCAAAAAGCAGGCACTCAATAAGTGTTTGCTGGATGGACAGAGGTTTAATTAAAATGTTTACAGTCCTAGTATCCAGCATCATTACTTTTTTAAAACTTTACACAGATTATATAAACATCCTTTAGAGGTTATTAGAAATATTTTTTCTTTCCTTAATTTCTCCTAGAAAAGATTTTTGATGGCACTAAATATGTGGAATATCCGTTTTCACATAACTATAGCTGCAAATGGTCAATACACTCAAAACCAAAAAACTGAACTCACTGCCAGCAAGTTGAATCAAACTCATAGTGACCCTCACTGAGTTTCCAACTCTGTAAATCTTTACAAAAGCAGATTGCCTCACCTTTCTTCTGCGGAGCACCTGTCAGTTTAAAGCACTGACTTCCTGGTTAATAGCCAGATGCCTCATGCACTACACCACCAGAGCTCCTTTAATATACCCAGCTGTTAACCAAAAAGCTGGAAGTTTGTGTCAACCAGAGGTACCTTCAAAAAAAGACCCGGTGATTTATTTCCAAAAAATAAATTTCAGCCACTGAAAACCCTTTGGAGCCCAGTTCTCCTCTGATGCATGTGGGGTCACCATGAGTCAGAGCTGACCGGTTTTAGTGGTCCTTTATTCCATCTCCACTCCTTGACCTCTCCATATGCCAAACGAATGAATCAACAAAGGAAAACACACCAGCACAACTGATACTAATGTTCCCTTGTTAGAAAGACAGGATTAAGCAATCTGGTCACTGACTATCCCTAGAGATCAGAGTATTACCCATAACCCTCTAATCCTCTCACTGATCACTGATAACATTAAAAAAAAAAAACAAACAAAAAAAAAACACATTTCATCTTTGAGACACATTTACTTTTTAACAGTCCTCAGATCAAATTCAAATAGTGTTGAATCTTCAGAGAAGCTAACAGCAATGCTAGTCAAAACAGTGTTTTGCTTACATGTTCATAAAATTGATTATTCTTGCTAAAAGAGCAACCTTCCTTGTTATCTAAGCGAAGAATGCATGTTTTGATTTATGCTGTTTCTTGGTAAATTAATCCAAAGAGAATTTTCTCATTATGTTTTCCTAAACACAGCATTCTCAGTAAGGACAAAAGTAAGTGCCAGTGAAATGAACCTTTTAGAGAATACCCATGATGCAGCAGCTACCATAAGTCTCCTAATGAAATGGAAAACAGGCTGTGCCTGTTAAGGATTAATATCCTGACAGATAAAAAGTTTTCAGCATTGTAACTAGGACAGTGGTGGTAGGGAGACTAAGTTCAAAGTGTTGAGCAGGAGAGAAGTGAGCCCTCAGGCAGGAGATGACACCTTCTACTGGTTCTCTGAGAGGAATCCCTCATTCCTCAAGTCCTTGTTAACCAGTAATTGTGTACATGAAACAGAAACTGCTAGATATGGCCTATAAGTGAAAAGAAAATAAACTTCTTTATCAATGCAGGCCTTTTAAGCCATAAGGTCTACTTCTGCCTCTCCCATTCTAAGAAAATGAGTAATTCTCTACTCATGGGTCCAATTATATTGAAAGAATTTCTTTACCATAATTCTTTGTAGTATCTCCCATGATTAATCCCATAATTTCTCCCTTCTTTTGAAAAAACACAACACAGCATCCCCGAACACATGCTGCCCAGAAGTGCAGGGTGCACTTGGGGAAGGTGGTTCTGACGAAGGCCTGGGGCTACTGGGGAGGAGGTCTGACTGCTGCCAGTTTGCTGGGACAGGGAGGCCTGTCTACTCAGTCCTAAAGCATTCCTGACAGGAATGCCATACTGTGGGGATTTTCCTGGTGGAGACGACTAAAATTTTTAAAATCTCCAATTGCACCCCAACAACATATTGTCAGTATTTATCTATTTTTCATTTCTTTGTTCTTTGACTTCACAATTTGAACAAACTGCCTTTAGCCTAATGAATGTCTTAGGGTTGTGAAGTGTGCACATCAGTTATGATTTGCAGCTGATATTTTAATTAAATTATGTGAAGATTTATAGTTGCATTAGTTCTCTGAAGGTTGAGTCTGTGACTAATTCATGGAGCAGCCTTGAGAGGGGAATCAGAAGGGAGTGGTCAAGGGCACAGAATCTATGGGTACCATACCCAGCTCCCCAGTCTTGAGCTGTCAAGTAAGGTATGCTACTTAATATCTCAAGTGCCACAGTAACTTCATCAAAAATTGGGAGAAAATAATAGTTCTTTGTTCACAGGTTTTTTTTTTTTTTTAAGATTATCCAATACATGTAAAGCAATTAAAACAGTATCTAGCACTGAGTAAATAAATGTTCAATGTATGACTGCTACTATTGGAATAAAAGTTCTTTCAAAAACATTTACTGAACTAATGAACTTACGAATATATAGTGGAAATTTAGCAAGCTACTGAATTACTTTTGGCATTTAGACTTATATAATATCTGAAAAATAGCCCAGCTACCTTCAGAAGCCAATATTTAATAATTTCTAAGATGTAGGGCTTTTAACTCAGTTTAAATTAATCATGTAACTTTTGGCTTGCAGTCATACAAGAAACCAAAGGGATTTTTAAATGATTATCTGCAAAGAGAATCACCATTCTGTCTATGCTCAGCCTTTTTATTCTAGAACATACTGAGCTTCATGAAAAACTAAGGAGTGTAGCAAGTGGAAGACAAGCAGCATTTGAGGTTAGAGAAGAGGAAACTATACCCAGATGAAAATAATTACAATTTTGCAATGTCTGTTAACTCTTACAGCAAAAGATAGTGCAGTCTTCAGATTTTTTGAATGACCTAGATTCACAATCTGTACCAACTACATAAACAAAGATTTATTTTTTTTACTGGATCATCTGATTGAATTGTAGCTAGGACACTTATAATGCCAATTTCTTTTGAAGTTTGAGCTTTTAGAATTATATGCCTAAACAGGTATCATTTTTGTTTCTTAAGAATCCTAGTTTAGTAATAGGAATTTCCTAGTGTTTCAGTAAGGTTTTAAATTTGTACAAAGACTCCAAAACTATCTAAACAATAAATCCAGAATCTAATGTACACATTTGGTTTCTTTTTTAAGTTATTTGGAGATGAGAGAAACACACTGGAAAATGTTTTCCTGATCAATGCTTTCTCCCATTTGACTGTATGTATCTGTTTTTTGTAACTTTGCTGCTAGTCTACAGCAATCTCATCTTCCATTATTTAATTTGTTGAGTTATCCAATCGTAATCATGTCCTATGAAATAAATAATATGAACAGGACCATCCTCTTCTCATTACTAGTGGTCAACCCAAAATGACTACGTCAGAATCTATGTATACTGAAAACTCCTTGGGTTGCTTAGAAAAGGCCAAATAGCTAGAGTAACTCTATTTTAGGAACTATGAATGTATTTTCTCCCAGGAAGATTTTCAGCTACAGATATTCTCTTTCATTTTTACATAATCACCATGGTAACTACACTTAGTATGGCTCTGAATTAAATATTAAGCTTCACATCTATTTATAATGCAGGGAAAGCATTACCTTACACGTATGTGAGACAAACACCCTCTATCTGATCGAGTTCCTGTGTGAGAGGAAGCAACCACATACCTGTGAGGGCCCAGATGCCTTGCTCTCTTAAAATGGCCAATCCCTTTACATCCTGGTGTTGAGCAGCCACTGTGTTCGGAAGCTTCCATTAATTCTAAGGGGCCTACAAAAAAAGGAAAAACCTTAACCAGACAGTTGTAAGAGTCATATGTCTGGAATCAGAATATGGAAAGGGGAAAAAAAATCTCTAAATATTCAATTTTTGTATCAAAACATAAACACCCACTCCTCACTTACTGACATAGTTAGGTTCTGAAGACCAGGTCATTATGGGAAAATTGGTATTATATAAAAATGGAGGATAACTACATCAGATCACCAAATGGAGGAAGACTACATCATTACCTAACTGTAAAATGACTTTATTACACAACTGCCAAACCACTGAGAATCACAGCCCAGCCAAGGTGACACATAAGTGTAACCATGACAGCCAGTGTTACTCTTGCCTTGCTCCTCAGTCTTTATTACTGTCAGACATATGTCATTAATGCACGTAGCAGTCAGATAGCAGATTTTTTACTATTGCAGTAAATGCAAAATGTTGTGTAATGAGATAGTTGATAAGTGAGGAATAAGGATACAGAAAATGTAGATCCTGTAAAAATTAAAAATATCTGAAAAATCTCAACTTTTAAAGGTGTTCCTCTGTGACTTTCTCCAATAATGTAAATAATGTATCTGTCTCCAATAATGAAATGGTTAACTTTGATCTAACCCTCTTCTCAAACTGTCACAAATTCCAGTTACTGAAATCCTAATTAATGAGAAGATTCTAAACAACTTCTGTCAAGTAAATATCATAAACAATATATGAACACTTGAACTGAAAATTTCAAACAATACGGTGGAATACAGAGTACCATGGTACAGACCCCCTTCTTGCTCCTTTCTCCGCATTTCACTATCTCCCCAAACCCTGACCACTTTGCTAATGTACACCCTTCTGGTCCTTGTTCTAAGTGCTCATATATAGGAACTCTGGTGGTGTGGTGCTTAAAGCATCTGACTGCTAACCCTAAAGCCTGCAGTTCAAACCCACCAGTTGTTCCGTGGAAGAAAAATAAGGTAGCGTGCTTCTGAAAAGATTCACAGCCTTGGAAACCTTGGCGGGCAGCTCTTCTCTGCCCTAAAGTCACTAAGAATCAGAAATGCCTCTATGGTAGTTGGTTTGGTTTTGGTTGTATATAGAAATGTATCAAGTTTCAATTTTGTTTTATTTTGCCACATAAAAAGGACAACATATGTGTATAGTGGTTTGAAACATTCTTTTGTTTTTATTGTCATTATTTCTTATAAATATTTTCATCTCAATATTCTTTATGACTCTTGCATAGAATCTGTGAGTGTACTTTAAATTATTTAATCAATGTTTGCTTCTAATATTTTTTATTTTAAACACGCTGCAATGAACACCACCTATCTACATGTATTTCTGTGCTCTTAGGTAGTGTGAAACATAAGATCAGGAAATTGAAGTGGCTATATCAAGAAAGCACACTATATTAAGAGGCATGTTTGTTTTGAATCTTGATAATAATTTATTCTATTTTCTCCATATTTTTTCCTGTAATGTATCTATTTTCTTCTAAAATTGAGATCATGGTACACAAAATTCTCTGTATACTTTTTTTTCTTAAATTGAAGTTTTTTGATTGAAATTTTTATCGAGAAAATTATAGACTAAATTATAATTTTGTTGAGATAATTAAAAAGATTTAAGAAAAAAATACAGAGATTTTTCTGCACACGTTTTCCAGTTTTTCCCAATGGTAACATGTGGAAACACTCCAACATAATATCACAATCAGGATACTGACAGTGATGATACAACCAACACATTAAATTTTAAGTCAGCCAAATTATCTTTGAAAAACCCTGCACTGATTTTAAAGGGGGCAAGGAAACACTAAGCACACTTTACAAGAATACAGAGACATTTTTAAAGTTATCCTGTGTCTCTTACTCAGAGGAGGCTGAAGAGGATGTCCAGTTTTGGAACACCAGCCCACGGGGTGAATATCAGGAGAATCTGCATCTATCCAGTAGTCATAGCAACTATTCCAGCCATCAAAGTGAACCTGGAGAACAAAAGAACATTAATAATACAATTCAGGTCACAGTAATTCCTACAGTAAAATTACTGCCCAGAGTAACCATTTTTACTCTACTGTAAATATATGTATTAGGTTTCATACCTAGTGAATTATTTTTATTACTTAAACATTTGCTTCATAGCATAATGACAGACAAGGCCTTGCCAAAGGCATTTTTTGGGCAACAGTTCTACAGTTATATTAACATACAGCTCCCAACTCTATGAGCAACTTGAGTACAGGTACTATGTCATAACACTCATATGCTCAACAACAAACACACATTAAATATTACTGAATTAATGAATGTAGCAGGGAGGGAGGGAGGGTAATAGGCGAATGGGTTGATAAGGTCAAGTGAACTGAAAAGTTTTATTTTTTTTTCCCCAAGCCAATGGCAATTTCTAATTTCCCAAATATCCTTCCACCAAACATATTTCTAAATATAATTTTTTTTCCTCTTACATAATTAAAATACCTCCCAGAGAAACTTTATAGACAGGTCAGTGTTACAAACTTCACTGGCCACCACATGAAAGGGCAGTTGATCTTTTAGGCATGGTCACTGGGAATCAGTGACTGTTACCTTTTAGGAAGAAAAAATAAGCTGCTAACACTATACACATATATTATCTTTTAATTAAGTTTGCAGTTAGATTTCTTAAGGTCTATGAATCTCTTACTCACTTCAAGATGATAGATGTCAGAAAAAAATCCAAAAAAACTGAAACACTAAATATTAAACCATAAAAGTTCTAGAAGAATGGATGAGTGAATTTGTTTATAATCTTAATAGTGGAAGAGCTTTTAGAAACAATGTACCAAACCCAAAGGCCATAAAAGGAAAAACCTATCAATTTGACTACATAAAAATTTAAAACTTGGCAGTAGCAAATATTACCACAAGGAGGATGGGTCATCCACTGCAAGCCCTAGAATACACTTGCTACACATGTAACAAGGCACTCCGCTCTTTAGTTCATAAAAGCTTTACATACCAATATGAAATATATGAAAACACCTAAGAAAGATGGGAAATAGATACAATTGATTCATAACCTAGAAACCAAATATAAATGGTTAGTATTTACAAACAAAAAGATGACCAATTTCACTTATAACTAAAAAAAATTACAAATAAAAACCAAAAGATACAATTTTTCTATCAGACTGCCCCCCCCCACATTTTGGTGATTCCAAGAGCTGATATGTATAAGAATAAGTGTTTGTTGGCACAGATGGTTTACAAGAGTGCTAACTGGTGGTCTATTCTGGAGAGCTATTTGGCAGTGGCTCTGGTAGCATAGTGGCTAAGGCACTTGACTGCTCACCAGAAGGCTGGCAGTTCAAACCCACCAGCCACTCCTCGGAAGGAAGGTTGGGCAATCCTACTTCCGTAGTGATACTGCCTCGGAAACCCAAGGAGGGGTCGCTATGAGTCAGGGCTGACTCGACAGCACATAACAACAACAACAACATTTGGCAGTGGCAGTCAACACCTGAAACACATCACCTTTGACCTGGTATTTCCCATAATTCCATGCTCAAAGTAGAAAACAACTAACTAAAACAAATGTCCATGATTAGGAAACGAAAAACACATTATGCTATATTCATGGGCTGGAATAGGACGTAGATATTAAAGTACATATATACAAGCTAATAACACAAAAACATTTCTCAAACTGAAGGACATGAAACTCCACAGTGAAAAGGTTTGTGTACCCAGCATAATAAATGAAAAAAGACCTTCACACCAAGGCACATCACTAAAACATGAGAACACCAGGGACAGAGAGACGGTCCCAAGAGCTGCCAGAAAGAAAAAGTACATTACTCAAAAAGAAGGAATTAGAATGGCCTCAGATGCTATAAAAACAACATTAGATGTAAAAAGACAGCAGAACAGCGCTTTTAATTTATAAGGACAAATAGTTCTCTACATAGAATTCAGTATCTAGATGTAGTATGAATCAAAAGTCAGCTTAAGCAGACATTTTCTGACGTGCAATGAGTCTGAAAAATATGATTCTCATACACTCCTTCACAGGAAGATACAAAAAGACTTGCTTTAGTAAAATAAGAATAATAAACTAAGGGAAACAATGTATAGGATCCAGGAAAGATAAAATATAACAGTCTGTCAGCAAAGAGAAGTTTGGGGATGAAGACTCTGTACCAGGTTTAGAGTAGAACCATTCAGATTGGAACAGGTGGCTGCTGAGCTGCAGGAAAATGAGTTCAAGGGAAAAAAAGACAAAAAAAGATACAGATAGAATATTTCATAGCATATGTGAGCTTTTAGAAAGCTGAATAAAAGAATTCAGATCTACTGAAGTATTTGCAAAAATCTAATAATTCAGAGACAGATTTTAAAAAAAATAAAAATACAAAGACATTATTGACTCCACAAGAGACAAAAAGTTGTAAGAAAGACACTTTGCTGAGCAGACAACAGTATTTGTCTATGCATAGTAATATAAACAGTTAAGAGTAAACAAATAAAAGAATAATGTGAAATAACAAGTGAAAGGATAAGAGCAAGGGGTGGTAAGTTAATAAACCATACTTCAAATGAGTGAACTGAGAGAGAGTAGTATATGAACATTATTGCGAAAACTGGAGAGAAATTGTCCTAAGAGCCAAAAGGGATCAAACTGGCTGCCTCAGGGAAGTCAAACTGGAAGTTGAGGAAGGATGGGGGTTTTACATTCTAGGTCTTCTACTAGCAACTGTGTTTTTAAATTATGTGATACATCAATAGAAATAATTATAGAAATCAAGAAGCGGGTAAGTCATACATGAAGATACAGATCTATGGGCAAAGTTTCCATCTTCTAATAAAGGACAGCTGACATTCTAGAAACACAAGACGAGAAGAAAAACATTCTGGTTGTTTTTAATGACATTCATGAACATCTGACAAAATACACAAAAGTCTTTAAAGTTTTAATTGTAATAGCTAAAAGTGTCACATATATTTTATTTAACTTAAAAGTTGATTTTATCCCTGAGAAACTTAAAATATTAAGCTATGCTAATAACAAAAACAAACACAAACATAAAACTACAGTTCATGCACGCTCAGGTATTTCTGCAGTGGTTTACCTTTAGCTATGAAGTTCATTTAGGCAGTTACGAAAAGATGACTGTCAACTGTGTGTCTCAGCCAGCTCTTTCTTGGCTGTTAAGGGCTAACTAGAATGTTCTACTGGATATAAATTAAACAAGCAGCAAAAAGAGCTAGAGTGTAGCCTAAACTTTGCCACTAACCGATCATCCTGCTTTAGAGTATTTAATCTAAATTAGGGCCTTTATTTCCTCACATGTAAAATCAGGAAGTGAGGTTAAATGTTTTCTATTACAAAAGTAAAGTATCTAAAGCAAGATACTAATTATTTAAAGAACAAACAAACAAAAGCCCTTTATCACCTACAGTGGCAGCACTGTAAGAGGAGCACTCTCGTCATTCTGCTGCATTTCCTCCAGAGCTGTCTATGCACACATCCATTCCTTGCTTACTGACCATCTCTTCACCTGACATTCCCACAGCAACAGTAAAATATCCACTGTCCAATTATTCTGTGCATTAATGACATACATCATTATGTCATTATGTGAGAGTAACACTGGCTGTGATGGTTAAGGTTATGTGTTAACCTGGCTGGGCCATGATTCTCAGCAGTTTGGCAGTTACATAATGATGTAATGTGGCAGTTATGTAATGATGTAGTCATCTTCGATTTTGTGATCTGATGTGATCATTCTCCATTTTTGCTTAATGCTAATTTTTACATAATGACCAACTTGGTCTTTGGAACTTAATCATGTGGATAAGTGAGAAGTGGGTGTATAGTCTCAAAAAGTAGTGTGGTGGTTATGTTTGTATGTCAACTTGGCTAGGCCCGGTTGAGTGGCTGGGCAGCTGGATGTAGTATTCCCCATGATGAGACTGGTAATCGACTCCATGGAGGAATCTACTGGGAGCAGCTGAGTAGCTGTCTTTGGGTATGTGGTCTGCTTCCTGTATACAAGGAGAAGCTTTGAGAATGGTCTCTGGCCTAAAGCATGCTTGGACCCTGCATGTAGCTGTGTCATTGCTCAGCAGCCTGCCATGCTCTGCCAACCCTGGGACTTACAATGGACTTAAGTTAATGGCCTGCCGTGTGGTTGGTAACACTGGGACTGTTCTTTTTTATCTGTCAACCTTGGAGCTTCTCAGACTCAGCAGCCAGCGGCTGTCTAAGTGAAGAAAAGCCTCCAGCTTCAGTGGGCCAGGAGCAGGAGGCAGAGCTGGACCCGAAGGCTGAGGGGCTTTCACCCAGCCCCTAGAGCCTGGCACTTTGAAGTTGGACTTAAAGCCTCCAAATTGTAAGAATAAACTCCAGTTTGTTAAGGCTATCCCATTTGTGGTATGTTTCCTGTCAGAGTGGCACTAGGTAACCAGAACAAATAGTATCAGACCTCTTAATTTAAACCTGAATTTTTCACTTACTAGTATTTAATATTCCTCTAAAATTCATTTTAAGATTATATCCAAACCAAACTCACTGCCATCAAATCAGATCTGACTCATAGTGATCCCTCCTTGGGTTTCTGAGGTGGTATCACTACAGAAGTAGATTGCCCAATCTGCCTTCCAAGGAGTGGCTGGTGGGTTTGAACCACCAGCCCTCTGGTTAGCAGTCAAATGTCTTAAGCACTACGCCACCAGAGCTCCTTAACGTTACATAGAGAGACGATAACCTAATTTACTCATCTCCTGATGTGGTTGTTTCCAATGATAAATACAATAAACATCATTGTTGCTTTTTCCTTATAACCCCAGCACACATGCAGGCCCACTGTCCCCAAAAGCAGCTCAGAATATGCAATTTAATTTGAAGAGTGCCTTTGGTTTTTCCCTTCACATAAATTCCTAAGCCTGAAATATTTGAATTAGAGATCAAACAACATTCTAAGACTTCCGATGTGTATTGTTGTTCAGAAAAGATGAGATACTTTACATCCCTACTAGCAGAATACACAAAGTTTTCACACACCAAAGTAAAACAAGAACTGTTTTTCAATTCTGATCAACTTGACTTAAAACAGTAATATCTTGCTTAATCCTACCTTTCTTTGACTACTAGTCTAGATTATTTAAAAAAAATACTTTTAAAATATAGTAAGTACTTTATGACTTACATTACTACCATCTAAGGCAGTTAACAAGCAGTTCTGATAGTGAAATGGCTAAGTGATCAGTTGCTAACCAAAAGGTTGATGTTTCAAACCCAGCCAGCGGCTCTGGGGAAGAAAGCCCTGGTGAAGTGCTTCTGCAAAGATGACAGCCATGAGAACCCCATGGAGCAGTTCCACTTGGTCACACGAGCTCTCTCCACATCCAAACTGACTCCAAGGCACCCAACAACAACAAGGACCGTCAACAGGAAAACATACTCTAACACTGTTAACATTATTCATAAAATTTTCTAAAATGTTATACGATTATGTAATCTTATAAACAGTTAATTGAATGCTAAAATTCTGTTAGATTAACAATACCACATTTGTACAGGTTTTTGATGTTGCTTTATAATTCATTTTTTCATATATTGTCCCATTGCAGGTATCTAAGAATGTGATTTTTCTTTTGAAAGAGAACATAAACTTGGATTCCAACAACTTATGACTGAGACTTAATTTTGCCATTGCCAGCAATTAATAAGTAACTCATCTCATCTTTTTGTACCTTACCGTCATAGGTAAAACAGTGATGGTAACATAAATCTTCCCTACTGTTACGACAAACACCAAATAATGTGAGAACAGTTACTTTGTAAAATATCATGTAAATCTAGTATTTTTCTGTTATTATAAATATTATTATTCCTAATAGAACTTCTAAACAATCTTATGAAGTAAACAGAAAGGTATTGTTGTAATTTCAGAGTGACGTTAATGCTGAAGCCAGAAACATAAGCCTTCTGGTTTCTTATCTGAAAGTTTTCTACTACGTTTCCCTTTATCACACTTGAAGACAAACTGAACCCATCTTCCCAAACGTTTGCTTATTTTGAGAGGTATCTGACTTTTTAAAATTCAACTCTAAGTAAAATCTGATTTTATTTATAAAAGTATTGATCGTTAGACTTGTCCTGTATTAACACAGGGAATATTCTTCTGAAAGATCTGTTTAAGACACTTCAAAAAATGGTAAACTTTAGTTTTTTTTTTTTTTTTTTTTACAAAAAGATAATAAGATCAGAGAAGTATTGTAATTATTCTCAATGAAATATTATTTTAATGTGTCTAGTCTCCTTTCTTTTCCTAAATACAACTCAAAATATTATGTCAGTAGTAATTAAGGAGAAAACTTACACAGAAGGAAAAGAAAGAGGAAAGAGCTGTAGGAACACTGTCTTATAAAAACTGCACTGTAATTTCATTTGCATAGTCCTATGGTTTTACCAATTTAATTATAAGACTTCACAAGTTTAATATCTGCAAAAATTTCCATCCCAGATGTCTTGCAAGACAAAACAAAAGCTCACCACAACAGAGAAGGCTTACTTTTATCCGGTGATCATCCGTGTCTGCAACAGTTGCTACTCTAATAAACATGGGATTTCTTTTGTCTACGACTTCAAGCCTCATTTTTTTCTGGAATCCATGTGGAGGTTTCTGTCATAACAGAAAATTGTATGCAGTGAGATTTATAGGAAGAGAGACTACAAAAAGTGGACTTCATATTATAAAGAGAGAATAATAAAGAGGAGCTATTTAGAGACTCAGCCTATCAAAACTCTCAAATTCCCAGGACGGCACTGACCTTCACCCTCCCCATCAAAAACCACAATCCTCACGCGCATGCGCAGGCCCTTAGGCACTACAAACAGCCAGGCACCTAGTGATAAGAGCAAATGAGAAGGGCTGAAGCAGAAGACCTTAAGAGGAAATTTAAAACATTGCAGTTATTTGATTAGCCATAGGGAAGACAAAGCATCTTTCACTTCAGCTGGAGATGTCTTGGCAAAAATGAATAAGCACACAAATTACTTTGAAAAGAAGAGAATATTAATTACTGAGATCAGAAATAGTAATGAAGGCAAAAAACAGAAGATGTCTGTAAAAAAAAAAAAAAAAAATTAGCAACCAAAATACACAAGATGGAATAGCTGTTGTAGGACCTGCAGCTTCCTCAGTGTTCAGCAGATACCTTACACCACCGAGGAAGGGGCAGGCAGTGGGAGGCAAGCAGGCAGCATAGTATTAAAAAGAACAGTCATCAAGTTGATGATGTTAGACAAATGAATTAAATTTTCTGAGCTTCAGGTCCCACTTCTGTAAAATGGGGGAAATGAAAGTGTTTCGCTGAAAATAAAGTGGGAAAGTTACGTAATAAAATGCAGAACAATCAATGCAAGGCTCCTAAGCGCCCCAACCAGAGAAATCTTGTTTTCTAGTATGAATGACACTATACATGTAGATCAATCATAGAATTCTACCCCATTCAAAGCAAGGAGGAATGCAGCTCTGCTTTGTATTAGACTAAGTTCAAGTCAGAGGCTCAGATAAAAACCTCTTGAAGGGATGCAACTGGTTTCCCATCAGAAGGCCTTGGGCGTTTCAGAGTGCAGTCCTCTTTTGTTTTACAGACCTATAAACTTGAGGTTACCATACTTAGAATGCATCAGGCTCTTGAAGTCTATCTGTTATTGTTATCTAAACTGAGAAGTAATTGATTAGATTATTTCTAGTGGCCAAAACCACCATAGCACCCCATTTCCAGTACATGGGAGGTCAAGTTAATGACTCAAACTTTCCTTTGTGAACATGAGAGCCAAGCAGAGGAAAATATACAGATTGAGGAATAAGTCATTTAGTCAAGGATGAGCTTAAAGAACTATCTCAATCTTTAAAAAGAGCAGATTTCTCTAGGGATGTCTAGGAAGCCCTGGTGGGAAAAGTTTAAGAGCTAGGTCGCTAAATGAAAAGCTGGTGGCTTGAACCCACTCAGCAGCTCCAGGGAGAAAGACATGGCAACCTGCTTCCATAAAAATTACAGCTGAGAAAACTCTATGGGGGAGTTCTACTCTGCAAAGGGTCAGTATGAGTCGGAACCCATGACGGCACCCAAGGGATATTTAAAAAACTAAAAAAGTCACTGCTGTTCACTCTGTTTCACTCATAGCAACCCCTCCGTGGGTTTCTGAGGAGGTACCTCTATGGAAGTAGATTGCCCAGTCTTCCTTCTGTGGGTTTGAACCATCAGCCTTCTGGTTAGCAGTCAAATGACTTAGGCACTGCACCACCAGAGCTCCCAAGATATGTTTACTCTTGACTAAAGAATTTTTCCTCTGGGCAATGCTTGATAATTAACAGTAAAATCATTCTTCTTTGGCTTGATTTTTTAAACATTCTATGCAGAATATTTCCATCTTGTTAACACACTCTCCCCTCACATCAATTTTATGCAAAAGGACAGGTTACAATAATCAAGTTTTTCTAGCTATACCCCTGTGAGCATGTTGTTCTCAGGAACACATTTATAGTATATCTCATCTCCATGACTGTGCTACTTTAGAGAAGGCTGAGGTCACCTTCACATTCTAATTCCTCCCATTTTACAATCAATAACTTATTCTGAGTTACAGAACATCTCAAGCCTCCCTTACATATTGAATAAGCTGGTAGAAAGGGAGTTATTATACCCTTAAAGGTATAAAACATCTTAACTGAATCCCATGGAATAATCTACTTGAAGGGCCAACTATTTGTGTAATGACTTCTGTAACAATACTTCATAAGAATGGCATAACTACAAATTATTCCTTTTTAAATCTTAGATTTACTCTCAGATGGGATGATATACACTCTCTGATGTAGTTTTTCTTCATGTAATGTGATTTGATGTTCTTTTCTTCTAAATTTGGGCCCACACCTTGTAATAATTTCTATCACTTAAAATACTAGCAATTTATACTCAAAAGGATCAGTTAACGAAAAGTGTTATTTCTGGTAGACTATGCCACATTTTTAAAAAATTTAAGTATTTAATACATCCTTCTGTTCTTTTAAGTCCATGGGAAAATATGAACTATAAAGTGAGCTAAGTGACATGGAAAAACAATAGTAAAAGATACAGTTCATTTCTGATTCTCTCCTTGTAAAAGAATGAGGTTTACTTTAAACTTAGTAAGTCATATGCAAAAAATAATGAGCCTGGGTTAGCAAGGTACTATAATAAAGGCAGATGAATTTGTATGTTGGTAATTAAACAGAATGATTTACAGGAGTAAAGTAAAAAACAGCATCTCAGCTTGCTATAACATAAAAAATCCAAATACAGTTTTTATTTTTTTTAAAAAAGCAATTCTCTATTTTATTTGGTCTTCCAGAATAGCTGGAAAAAAAAGAGGCTTGCTGTAAAATGACAATAATTTACCTCATACCATCTGAAACAAAATTATTTTCTAAGAAAGTTTTTAAAGTCCATAATGAAAGTATTTTTCAAAAATGTGAAAATGTTGAAACATTTTATTTGGCCTACGGTTACCTTCCCATTCCCATTACAGTACCATATCTTTCTGTTCTTACATGTCAATGAATGAATGATATCATCATCAAAAATTAATCAAATAATGTGAAATGCATTAACTTACCACTTTGAATGCTCTTGCAGGAGCAGGTAGAGAATTGGTTTCTTCTAAGTATTTATCCCAAGAAAAATGTTTCACATTTGGGTAACCTAAAGTAGAAAGAAAAAAGTAAATCCTAAGAGGCTTAACCAAAATGATTGTGAGAATCATAAAATGACCTACAAAAACTGTAAGGTATAATTACCATTATAAACTAAGAAATCATTCATGTACTACATAAAAGAATTTAAAACAAGCTACATATTCAGAATTATTTGTAATAAGAAAGTTGTTTAAATCTTGATCATGACTTCTCTTATTTTTTAAATGAAAATCTTAAATATGCACATAGGTATGTATGTATTTACACACACATGCATACTATATAATTTATATTCTCAAGTAAGGATAGTCTTACAACATAAGACATAAAACAAAAAACCTCCTAAATACCCTTTAATCTAGTAATTTTATTTGCACTAGTCTAGAAAAATACCATGTGTGCTAAGACAGTGCACAGATTTGTAAGTGTGAAAATGTGGAAAAAATTTAAATGAGCACTAATACAGAAATGTGTAAAAAAATGTGTAAAAAAATGGATTAAAAAAGAGGCAGATTTATATATACTATTACGTACAATATTCCACATGCATTGTCATACGGTTAGGTCAAAAACAAAAACTGCTGAACAGTATTAACAGAATGTATAAAACCAACTATTCTTCCTCCCTTCCCCCTTCTGTTTCCTCCAGAGTCCAGCATCCACCAGGTAGGCACTGTAAGAATTCATGGCAGCCCATAATGGTGCCCCAGTGGATGGGGCTTTGGCCACATAAAAGGAACTAAGGAAATAATATATTGGAAATAATGGAAACCAGGTTTCTCACTGACTATGAAGAGAAGAGTAAGTATGGAAAGAGAAAAGCCAGAATGAGCTGTAATGCCACTTTTCAACTGAAGCTAATGCTATAAGCCTAAGGTTTTTAATAAATATATATAAATATGAAGTAATATAAATTTGTGTGTATTACATACGTGTCTTCTAACTACGTCCACTAAGAAGGCCTGTAAGCAGCAACACGACAGAGTGACCATGAGCACACTTAGTGCCCAGACCTTAGTTTCTAAGTACTATTTGTCACCAAAAACAATGATGTATCCTTTGAGAAAAGACTGACTTCAGGATTGGGCCAGGTAAAGCAGAAAATAAGCCAAGCTATGCCAGAAAGAAAAGAAAACTTTAAAATACATCAAGAGAATGTAAAAAGGTCACAGCAACCAACTTAAAGAGGTTTCCACCAGCCAAACAGGAGAAAATCTGGACATGAAAATAATGCAGTAATGGATTATAACCAGTGGATGGAAATAAAAATCTATGAATTTACACTGACATAAGTAAATTAATTGAATGAGTAAATGGAAAGAAAAGTTATTTTCTGAAGAATGTCAATAAATGTAAAAGTAATGACAGAATTAGAAAAATTACCATTAAGCAAGTGTCAGAGTAGTAATTCATATTAGAAGCATCAACAGATGCTAAAACTAATGAGTGAAGCTGGCATGAGGGCACACACTTATACAGCCTCAAAGTATCTCTTTACAAAACACTTATTAATCACAGAGAAAAAGAGCTATATAGTAGAGAAAGCTGGCAGACGTCATCCTGAGCAAGTCATGGTAAAAAAATCAACCAGTAATGAAACAAATTGCCAAGAGGTGCCTCCTTAAAGGATGCAACAAGAACACAGCATTAGTTTCTGTGGTATGTCTGCCAAGAATGCATACCGTGGGTCTAATCGTTGTTGTTGTTGCTGTTGTTATGTGCCGTTGAGTCGGCCCCGACTCATAGCAACCTCTCCTTGGGTTTCTGAGGAAGTACCACTACGGAAGTAGGATTGCCCAACCTTCCTTCCGAGGAGTGGCTGGTGGGTTTGAACCGCCAGTCTTCTGGTTAGCAGTCAAGTGCTTTAGCCACTATGCTACCAGAGCTCCTGGGTCTAATCATTAGGAAACATCAATTGTACATTAAGTCACATTCTACAAAATGACTGGACTGTAACCCATCTATAATCCTCAAAAATACTGACATCAAGAACATCAAAAAGAGCCTAACTGAAGGAGACTGAAGGTTATGACAACTGAGTACAATGCTTGATCCTGGATTGGGTCCTTTTGCTATAAATGACATCATTAGGGCAACTGACAAAACTTGAATTTGTCTCTGGGTCAAAGATATAGAAGAGTTTGTGCTATTCTTACAAATTTTCTCTATATTTGAAATTGTTCCAAAATAAAAATTTTAAGATGCAAATAGGCAAGCATCTTTCCATGAATATAAACATTTTGCAACATATTTTTAAGGACCAAAACTTGCATAATTTAAGTTAAAACTCTTTAATAAATAAAACATTATATACACACATATATATGGATATACATAAGGGCAAAAGATTTTTCTAGAAAGATACATCAGCAAACTATTAACAGGGATAACGGTGGTTATCTCTATTTCCACTCCATTTCTAAAAACAAGCATGTATTACTATATAATGTATAATAATTGTATAACTGAATTTGGATAATTCAAAATACATTTGTAAGATTATAATTTTAGAGCAAGAATGACATGCTACATCATGTTTAGAGAATGCTAACATGGTGCTGGACAGCAGGGCTAGTAGGGGACTGATCCATGAAGTGGCAGGAGACTAAAGATGGCAGCTGCCTAAGGAGACTAGTGGTGAGGATCCTTTTCTTTTCAGCCAGAAGGTCTGAACTGAGCCAAACATCGGTCCTTAGAAGAAAGGGCAAGAGCTGAGTGGAAAGGACTGACTGAGGGGGCAGAAGAAAGGGTATCTTTTCAATCATGAAGCCACAAAGTTTACATACATACATCAGCATGTGCTCCACAAATGAGCCTCACTATGTGGCATTTAATAGCCTAAAATTCTGTTCTTCCTTAAGTTTCTGAAAAGCTATGCATTTTCTCTTGGGCAAATCTGCCACGAAAGAACTCTTTCAAGTGTTAAAAAGCAAAGATGTCACTTTGAGGATTGAACAAACAAACAAACAAAAAAAACAAACTCACTGCCGTCAAGTTGGTCCTGACTCACAGCGACCCCTCCTTGGGTTTCCGAGGTGATGTATCTACAGAGTAGATTGCCCAATCTTCCTTCTGATGAATGGCTGGTAGGTTTGAACCACCAGGCTTCTGGTTAGCAGTCAAATGTCTTAGGCACTATGCCACCAGAGCTTCCATGGTATTTTTTGGATGGTATTTTCCATCACCTCATTATGCATGGGCTAACTGGACAATGAATTAGGAAGACTGAAGAACTGATGCCTTTGAATTATGGTGTTGGTGAAGGATACCGAATATACCATAAACTGCAGGAAGAATGAACAAATCTGTCTTAGAAGAAGCACAGCCAGAAGGCTCCTTAGAAGTGAGGATGGCAAGACTCTGTCTCACATACTTTGGACATGTTATCTGGAGGGACCAGTCCCTGAAGAAGGAAATCGTGCTTGGTAAAGAAGAGGGTGAAAGAAAAAGAAAAAAACCTTCAATGAGGGGTAGTGTGCCCAAGACCATGTATACTGTTGGCAGATAATGTTTCTACAAGTGTATTTGTATGTTCTGTTAGAATTCCCAGATATACAGTAGAGCTGACAAGGGGCAAGGTTGTAGTCACTTCTTGGCCACAGCCAGCTACCCAGAGGGACTGTGTAGTTGGACCTCTGGGGTTGGGACCATAGTCGCAGGGGTCACCAGGCTCAAGTGGCAAAACATACTATACAAAAGCATCCTACTGTGGTGAGTAGTGACTGGTATCTTAAAAGCTTGCAAGTGGCCATCTAGATGCAATG